GCAAGCGTAGTAGTCGAGGAACATCAGAGGCTCAGCGCCTTGTACGACAAGATCGTTGACGTTCATGGCGACGAGATCGATACCGACAGTGTCGTGCTTGCCCATCTCGAACGCAATCTTGACCTTTGTGCCGATACCGTCGATAGCGCCCACGAGTATGGGTGCCTCGGTGTAGCCAGCTGCTTGCAGGTCGAGCAGCCCACCAAATCCACCGATCTTGCCATCGGCTCCAGGGCGTTTTGTGCTAGCCGTCAACGCCTTGATCTGCTTCACGAGCTGGTTGCCCGCGTCGATGCTCACACCCGATGATGCGTATGTCAGCGCCTCGCCAGCTGGCTGTGAGGTGCTGGAAGGGCGTGTCACAGTGGTGCCCTCCTCGGCCGGCTCAAGGAGCTTCCAGTCGCATGTTATGCCTTCCTTCTTGAACTCTTGCAGCAGATGTTCCGCGATCTTGTCGAAGTTCTCGGTCGCGAGTGCGAGGATGGTCGGGCCGGCGCCTGAGAGACAGATGCCCAGCAGGCCGGGATGTGATTGTGGGGTAACGGATTGGAGGATCTCGGTAAGACCGGGGATGAGGCCGCGACGGTAGGGTTGGTGGAGCTTGTCTTGCATAGCTGTGTAGATCATGTCGGGGTCTGGTGTGGCTTGACCGAGTGCGGTGGTCAGGACAGCCAGTCGCTGCATGTTGAAGATGGCGTCTTTGCGCGAATACGACTCAGGCAGTACCGCACGCGCCTTGGCCGTCGAGACCTCAAATTGTGGGATGACGCATATGCACTTGATAGCGGGCGACCAAGCAAACTTGGTGTAGTGTCCGATGTTGAGGGGAGGCTCGGGTGGCCGCAGACCCGTGTCTACACCACCTGCAGGTTGCGGGAGGACTTCGCTGAGGGGAATTTCGAGGCGCTCGGTGTCTTCGGGCGACAGTTCGTTGAGGTATGTGCCGACAAAGCCTCCATATAGCGCTGCTGCGACGTTGTCTGGGTGACGCTCTTCCATCAGGCAGTAGTCGAGCATGCGCGCTCTCGATAGCCCAAGGTTTCCGACCTCATTCGCCAGATATACACCTCCTACAATGGCTGCAGCCGAAGAGCCCAGTCCGCGTCCCAGTGGTATTGGGTTCTTGACGTGGACGTGTGTTTCCGAAGGGAAGTCGCGAACGCCATGGCAGCGGAGCACGTATACGGCGGTTCGCGTGATGAGGTTGTCTTGCGCGCTGAGCGGGACATCTTCGGCGCCTACGCCTTCATAAGTTATTTTGCAGTTGAGCGAGTGCTCTGATTTCTCCTTCTTGGTGACTGTGACCTCGAGTTCGAGATAGAGGTTGAGCGCAAGGCCAATGACGTCAAAGCCGGGGCCGATGTTGGCGGACGAGCAGGGGATCTTGATGTGAGTAGTCATATTGGACTACAGAGCGCCTGGGGCTTGACGTGATGTCTTGTTATGTCGTCGCGCAAAAAATATTGGACCAGCGCATGGGAGGGATGAAAAAGAATCGCGTGGGGCTCAAACGCCGACGCCGGTCGCGGGGTAGCGCACCGCCACACTTCATCCCTTGCCAGCCTCGCGACGCGTCCAGCTACGCGCAGACAACCAAGTACTCCATTCCATCTCATCTCATCTCTGCATTCGGCTCCCCATTTCTGTCGCGACAGTGCCATCGCATGCATCAGCTTGTCGGTCCAAGCCGCCGTCTCTCACACAACCGAGCATACGTACAGACACCGCGATCCAGAGGGGGAGTCGCGTCATCGCGTTCGCTATCAGCAATAGTGGACATGATGCATCGCAAGCGTGGCTCGAATATGGTGAAGGCAGAGAGGGACTTGGGTGAGGCTGTGCAACACGTCTCCTCGCTTTGGTGGCATCCAAGAGCTGCAGTGACGCCACCGCTGACGCCTTGTGTGACCCGACGGCGTTGCCAACGCATAGCCCTTTCAGTACTCAGGTAAGTAAAGATCTGTGTGAAAGCCGCTCACAGTAGTTGAAATCGACAACTTCGCAGCCCTTCTGCAAGGGCTTTCGCTACCAGACCCGCAGCAGGCAGACGTTCTACGATATCGCCGCACGACCAGGCAACAGGAAAGGCTGACCGGTTTTCTTGGCTGTCTACATATAGCCTTGCGAAGTACTTTTTGTGTGAATTTCAGTTCACTCACCTTCTTCCTTTACGGTCATCTCTTACTTGAATAATCGGAGTGAACCGGGACTTCCTTTATCGTTCAACTGCTTCGATAATACGGTGAAACGAAGCCTCAGCTCCGCTCGACTAGCACGGCTCCCAGGCTCTCTTACAGCACTACGCTCTCACTTTTTCCTCAACCCACTCAAAGCCTTTACTCCCCCCACCCACTCAGCATACCATTACAGTACCTCAAGCAAGCCGATCTCGAAGGACATCCGTCGCCTCAGTTCAGTCCGTCCCAACAGCACTCGTCATGTGCGACTCGCCCACTGAAGAGGACGCGCGCGCTGAGCAGTTGGCCTACTTGCGCCAGCTCATGGCCCTGGAGCAACGCAATAGAGCTAAGCGCGAGGCTCGCTCCCCATCGGTCTCCTCTTCATCATCCGAAGAGGATAAGCCAGCCGCAAAGAGCAAGTCAAAGACCAAAACCAATGGTGTCAAGCACGTTCTTGTCAACGGTAAAGGTCGAAAGCAGGCTGAAAATGGCGCCACCGATGAGGACATTCCGGAAGACAAGGCCGAGGACAAGGAGCTCTACAAACCAGGAATGAAGAACGGTCTAAAGCACCTGTACTCCGGAAAGGAAGATAAGAAAGGCCGCTTTCAGTGGCAAGAGGAGATCCCCGAAGACCTTGGAGAAGCAGTCGAGAACGACGAGACCGCAAAGTGGGCGTTGCTCGTACGAAACGTCAAGGTTTATAACGATCCCCGACGGGTATTGTCTGTTCACTCGATTGTCGTTCAGAGCCCGCTGCTGAAGAAGCTGCTCGCTGGTGTACTGAAGAACTACCCTGGTGTCACCGTCGGCCTCAACCGTCTCGAGTTCCAGGGCAAGTTTGAGCCACTGATTCATCGATGGACTGAGTTGCAGGACGATATTGCCAAGCTTGGCGACGAGACAGAGGATAAGCGCACGACCAAAGCCCACGCTGAGTTGCTCCAAGACATTCTCACCAAGGAATTCAAGAGCATGATTGATACCTCCCAGGACATGAAGAACAAGAAGGTTATGACATACGAACATCTTTGGACGCTGTATCAACCTGGAGCGACTGTTTTCGCTCGACAGGACGGTCAAGAGACGGCCATGATTTTGGTCGAGACGCGTTATGGACAGGATTGCAAGGGTGCACCCTGCTTTTGGCTGACGTGCAAGTATGTCGATTGGGATGGCGCCAAATTCGGTTCCAACAAGATCAACCTCTCCATCGCCGCCTATACCGGTACACGCGCCATCACCAATCTGCGTGTCTACCCCATCGAGTTCCATCCCGAGGGCGAAGCTATCCGCACTCGCCTCATTGAACGGGGTGCCAAAGCAGAAACTCTCGCTGGTCCGAACTATAGAGCATACCAAGGTGTTGCATGGAGGCAGGGTGGATTCGGGAACAAAGACAAGTACAACGTGAAGGGTCGGATAATCATCGATACCTACGGCTGGAACCGTTTCGACCCCACTCATTCGGTCTTTGTAACGCCACTGAACCAGAAGGATCCTAGCCCGCCACCAGTCCCTCCTATTCCGGGGCAGTACGACGAGGAAGAAATTGACGAGTGCCAGGATGAGTTCGAAGACGAAGACGACAGTGGCATGCCATTGGATGGCGCATTTGCCGACGAGGACGATGCAGCCAAACACGTTCCTTTGACAACTGAACAAAAGCTTATCTGCACACCTCTACTTCGTGGTTACAGCCTGAAGAACAAGCTTTGGCTGAACTTTTTCGTAAACTGTGTTAAAGACATTGAATGGCAAGACGACGCCTTCGATAGACTGGTCCTCCCTAAGAACCAGAAGGAACTAATCCTGGGTTTTACAGAGTCTCAGCGAAAGTTCCGCGATACGTTTGACGACGTGATCGAAGGTAAAGGCAAAGGCATGATTATTCTACTCTGCGGCCCACCCGGCGTGGGTAAGACTCTCACTAGCGAGTCAGTCGCCGAAGAAATGAAGGTGCCTCTCTACATGATGAGCGCCGGCGATCTTGGCTTCGATCCTAGGAAAGTAGAGACCAAGTTGCAAGACATCCTCGAAATGTGCAGCCGCTGGAACGCGGTCCTCCTCCTCGACGAAGCCGACGTCTTCTTGGAGCAGCGCTCTCTCCACGAGCTCGAGCGCAACAAACTCGTCTCTATCTTCCTTCGCGTTCTAGAGTACTACGAAGGCACCATGTTCCTCACGACCAACCGCGTCCAGACCTTCGACCCAGCCTTCCAATCCCGCATCCACATCTCGCTCGACTACCCCGGTCTCACCATCGACTCCCGCAAGACGGTCTGGAAGAATTTCCTCGATTCGTCGTCGCAGGAACATACTATTTCCAAGGCTGAACTTACGGAGCTGGCGCGTATGGATCTGAATGGACGGCAGATTAAGAATATCCTCAAGATTGCTAGGTTGTTGGCTAGTCGCAAGGAGGAGAAGCTTAGTCGTGAGCATATCACTACTACTATGGATGTTACCCAGCATCTCCATAACGAGACGCAGTTTAGTGAGCGTACCAAGGGCACTTTGTATGGTTAGTGCGAAAGGATGAGGGCATTGGTGAAAGGACTGGCTTTCATTCATTCATGGGTTATTGGTGGATCTAGACACCAAGCAAGTAAGAGATCGGCCTATTCGAACATGTTCGGTGTCTACAGGAGCTATAGCGCCCTCTTGATCAAGATCTAGGGGGGGATCATACGTAGAAAATGCTACCAAATCACAAAATGGAGAATATGATCAATGCCGACTTCATGACTGTATTAATGAGTGTTGGAGTATCAAGACCTAGTATGTATCTGCTCAGCAACAACTTGCCCCGCAATCATCTCACGGCTTAGCATCCCACCGTTTGCAAACCCAAGTATAGGCATCCTTCAAAAACTGCTCTTTATCTTCATCAAGCCAATAGTCGAAACCATGACCCACTTTCTCGCTGGGTCCGCGGTCTACCTTCTCCGTCTCGGAGTTCCATGTCGGCCTCGTCTGCAAAGACTTCACGATACTCATAAAGAGCATATTATCCTCCTTGAAACGATCGCCGTAGAGTTCTGAGTCTCTCAGCGTATCGCGGAACTTTATAGTATCCTTGACGTCGCAGTTCGGATCGTCCCATCCGTGGAAGATGTGAATTGGGGGAAGGAAGTCAGGCTCAACATCTTTGGAGGTATGCTTTGCGCGCTCTAGGCCATCCATATAATTGGTATTTGTTGGGTCGGCCAAAGAACAGTCGCCATGCTTGCGTCGAAGAAGGTCTTTCCAAGTCTGAGCCATGGAGAGTATGAAAGCGAAGGCCATACCCTGTGAAGGCCAACGCTCCGAGCAAGTTGGCACAACGCCCCTCTTCTCGAGCTCTCTGATTACAGCGCCAACGTCCTTTGCGCGTTCCTTGACTTCTGTTTCAGTGAACCATTGTCCCATGTATTGATTCTTCCCCTTATTCTCCTTCTTATCGGCAGACTTGTCCCAATCCCGCTTGTAATGCGCAATCATAGGGTAGCGGAGAAGCGCTACCTTGATGGGCAGGTTAGGTCCACCCTTCGTCGCGTTGAGCCACATCGCAGTGACCGCAGCCTGACCACCAGCGCTCTCACCTTCCACATATACGCGATCCTTGTCGATGCTATACTTTTGCCCCGGAGTTCTACTGTATAGCCACTTCGTCCACTCTGTGTAACGGGGCTCGAAGCAGCCGTCTTCTTTGTACCAGTCGAGGAAGTCGCGCATGCTTTTCACGATGTCCTCGTAATTTGCTTCGGGTGCAAGTGGGTAGTCTGGCGCAATGATGATGGCGCCTCGTTTCTTGGCTTTGGCAATGGCGGTCTTGGAATACCAGGGGTAAAAGTCGGCAGCTCCTGTGCACTAGTGTTTTATCAGCATCTTGTGGGGTGTGCCATGCCCGTAAAGCTACTCACGTAGCCGCCGCCATGGAACAGCCACATCACAGGAGCTTCGTGTCCCTGCTTCATCTCTTGTGGAACGAGTATCGTTACCTCCATGCTCTCCTTGTCCCAGCGGTCAGAGAATGTATAGTCGGTTTTAAACAGGAAAAAGCCCTCGTCCTCAACCCACGTCTCCTTGCGGTCGAACATCTTAAAATTCTCTTCGCCATCGATAAAGATATCGGGTCTTGTCATTTCTTCGCTCGGCCAGGTATACAACTTCAACAGGTCTCTTGTGACCAGCTTGTAATGATCAGTGCTGTCTTTCCGTGCTTCCTTTACGATATTCAAGGCCTCTTCTGGCCAGTTCCATTTTCGAGAATCCGGCGTGACCAACTCCTTCAATTTAGCCTCGCGTCCTTCGCTGCGCTTGAACAATTCTTTGAGCTCATTCTCCTCTTCAGATGTCCACGTCGGCGTCCAAGTCATAATTGAGTTGTAGACTATCGTGGATCGGTATGGGTGTGATGTGTTTTTAGTGAATTCAAGATTCCGTAAAGTTGTCAAAATCTTCGTTGTGCTGTCGCTGCTCGGTGTCGAAGTGCGAACTTCAGTAGATACTTCCCCAACTTATATACTCCTTGTTGACTCACATTTCCTCCCAGTCACCCCCGAAGACTCACAGTCGACGCTTATAGCCACCAGTCAGCCCGCGTTCGACTCTCGAGGAGTCAAGCCCACGTTGATATGCCATGCCCACCAACTGCTCTTCGTACGTGGTGCCATGTGATCGTGCACGGCGGGAAGCCGTGCGTCGTGACTCTATCGCTCGGGTACCGTCATAATAGTACTTCTCGTAACACGTTGTCGGGTGTGAAGTGTAACACTGGATCCAAGGTTTCCGTTTCTCTCGGCATATAGGCCCCTGGTTGTGACCGCGACCATGCCGTGGGGGACTGTATAACATCGAGCCTCCGGTATCGCTCGCGTACCTTTGTAGCTTTGTTGCCTATCGCGAGGAACAAGACCTTGTTCATCGTCTTTGTTGTAGCTGGAGTCTGAGCTTGGGCCAACGATTGCAGCGTGAGTTAGTGAAGATGATGGCTGACGAGAAGGAGTATGTCCGCTCTGTCGCATCACGTCTTCTAGGTATGAAGCAGAACTGCAAGGCTGATAGTGCGTTTGTGAACGATCAATCACCGGTTGGTCCTTCCATTCCAAGGTGTCATCCGATCGTCATAACGTTTCTTCCACCCAACACCCGCTCGGTCTGCGATACCGTGTGAGCTCTGAAACCGATGAGAGACATGATGACAGCCGATAATCTAGATCCCAAGGTCGCGAATGGAGCATGGATGGTGTACGAGAAGTTGCAGAGGTGACAAGTCGCGAGATCCGTCTCTCCGCACTAGCTAAGATCGGCAGGGGTGGCCAATGCTGAAGCTTCCCATGTGAGGCCCCACTTTCGGTAGACATGCACGGGAGGAGCTATCTCTAGCGTATAGCGATGTTCGGGTGTGACAAGCAGACTACTTGAGGCGAACCGTCTACGTGGAACAGATCATGATGTATTAGGGAGTGCATCGCGTTCCATCGAACAATTAGGCTATACTCCGGAATGGAACTCGATCAAGCACACATAGACTCAATCATACGGGAACATTACACATTAAATCAAGTCAAGCGTGTGAGCAACTCACACTGGGGTATTCATTATTTGCTCAGAGAGCTTCGCGTGCTATTTACACTAACGAATGCATTACATAATCCTGCGTCCTGTAGAAGCGGAACTTCAAATCATCTGGCTGGTTTGGATATGAATCTACGCAGTCGGGACAGCGCCAGTAGCGTAGCCTTTCTCGATAATCGGAGGGGGCTTGGGCACATTTCGGCGGAGGACCGTCTTGTTGATGAAGTAAGGCACCGACTGGGTGATCTCGTAGTGGAGGTATTGCTTGGTGGGCACACTGAAGACCTGGTCCAATTCTTCAAGCGTAAGCTGCTTGGTCTCGCGGACGAAACAGAAGATCATGAACCAGGCGATTAGATTGAGACCAGCGTAGAATCCAAAGGCGCCTGTCTGCGTCATGACCGAAACCATGCGAGGGAAGGTGAGGGACAAGATTCCGGCGAAGGTGTTGTTGATGCAGACAGCCCAAGCCATGCCCTGCTCACGCTGGATGGTAGGGAAAACCTCGGCAGAGTACTGGAACGCAACTGGTCCTTCTCCGAGCGAGTACATGATCGTGAAGAGGTAGATGAACAAGACGATCGGTCCGAGTTGAGCGGCTTGACTACCACTGTCGTTAAGAAGGGATAAGCCGCCAGCCAGTAGGAAGATGCACATGAAGGGGAAGGTCTAGCACACAGTCAGTACAAGGTCAGTTGCGCAAAGGTCGGGAAGTACTTGCCCACATGCAGAGGGTCCTTCTTCCCTTGGTGTCGATGAGGAACAGAGTAGGAATCGTAGAGACGACCTGAAGAGCTCCGTAACCCAGAGAGGCGTATAAAGCCTGGTCATCGGTAAAGCCGACCTGGGTGAAAATGGTCGAGCTGTAGAATGAGATAATGTTGATACCACACATCTGCTGGGCAATCATGACAGTGGAAGCACCGTAATTGGCACGCCTAATTCGAGGCACGCGGAAGCAGTCCCACATGCGGTCGAAGTAGCCAGCTCCACGTGCAACAGCTAGCTCAGTCTCATAGATGACGTATGAGTAGTAGTAGTCGCGAGCAGCAATGATGGGGTGTGCGCGCAGTCTGGCCATTGATCGGTAGCCTTTGGCAATGTGGCCATGCTTCATCAACCAACGAGGAGACCTAAGAGTGTTTGTTAGTATATGCTTGACATGATTGAGCGTGATGAATTTCACTTACTCTGGGCAAAAGAAGATGCCAACCATGAGGATAAAGGATGGGATGAAAGCAGAACCGAGTTGTAGACGCCATGAGATAGCTCCGGTATCCTTGACGATGACATTGGCGCAGAAACCGAGGAAGATACCTGTGAATAGGAGTTAATAACATATCGTCGACAACACGGATAATACAACTTACCAATGACAACCCACAACTGCCAGAACATGACCAAGGCACCGCGAATTCGGTGAGGCGCAATCTCAGCAGAGTAAATCGGGACAGTGGCGTTCTTTGCACCGATTCCAATTCCCATGATGAAGCGCGCAGCAAAGAGCCCTTGCCATGATTGCGCACAAGCGGAACCGATGGGGGTGGCAGTCAGGCAGATAGCGGTGACGAAGATTTCTCCACGACGACCGAGGTACTTGTTGAGGGGGTCGACGATGAAAGCGCCGATGAGACCAGCAGTCAAGAAGATGATGGAGTTGATAAGTCCGATGATCCATTCGCCCCTGTCGGATCCGAGAAGACCGAATTCCTCAGGGAAGGACAAGTTGGCTCCGTTGGATCCAGTCTGGTCCCAGCCCTGAGTGGCGGCTCCGATGGCACACAGACCAATCGAGTACCACATCATGGTGGGACCGAACCACTTGTGGTCGCGCTCGTAGATGAGAGCATCGCGCTCTTCCTGAGTAAGGTCGGTGAGCATCTCGAAGCGCTCAGGATCGCGCGCGATAAGGGCGGCCTTTCCGAAGAGGGCGGCGTGCTCATCCAAGCCATGGGTGGCAGCCCATCGCTCAGCAGCGCTGACGCACTCGGCCTTTGACTGACGGGTTAGAGGGTTCTCGATGATGTTGTGGGCGACAGATTCGCGGCGGGCGCCTGTATCAGCGATGTGCTCTGCGGTGGGCGTGTAGTGAGGCTCCTTCTCGTTGGCCGGGTCGTAGGCAGCTTCCTTCTCAGCAGAGTAGGCTACTTCCTTGTCAGGAATGTGGCTGACGCCAGTGTCCTTTGCGTCCATGGTGGAGTGGATGTCTCGCAGGCTCCGACGTTAGTAAGACAAAGTGCAAGGAGTTGCGGAGAGCAGTGGAGTGGAGGTAGAGAGAAATGGCGGGGGAGATGAGCAGTCGATCTTATACCTGGGGGAGTTCGGAGTGAGAGGGAGGCCTAAAAGTGGAGCCTCAACGGCGCACGCCAGCCGTAAGAGGTTTCCGACAGGCACCTGGGGTTTTCCAGATTCTCTTTCACTGGCACCACCGTCGCGGCGGTCGAGCACCCCGGGATCCTGGCTCGCGTCAGCCATTGAGAAACAGCCTTGGAGGAGGGGGTTTCACGCGCTAGCGCTATCGTTCATGAGGATCCCCACTTCATCTCTCCCCATGGAGTAAGCCTCCCCAAGCGTGCTGCGGCTATCTTAGCCACGCTTAAGGCCTGGGGCTTGGCCGTCACCCCAAAGCTTCGCGCAGGCCGACGTCTATGACCTCACCCTCCGCATTCTCGACCCCATGTGATTCAGCTAGCTCAAGCCACCGCGTTACATTGCTCGGCTGTCTTCCGAGCAACCGTCACGCCAGCCGCTCTATGCTGGAGGTTGGTGAAGGGCGCTGTCAGCTCACCCTTACATGTTTACCGGTGTATCTTGCGTCGCACGGCGCACGAGGCGCAATCGCCGTCACAGTAGCGCGGCAGGTATCCCGTACTCGTGGTGTCCCCGTGATCAGTGCAAGGCTTCACGTTGCATGTGCTTGGTGCGATCGAGGTGTGCGGCTTGTTAAGCTGACGCTGCCCAGCTCCGATCGGCGCCCATATTGCCCTTCCCGCCAGCCGCCTGCATACCGGCACATGTTGGCGCGACCACCGAGGCAGGGAGCAAGGCGCCATTGTACTGCCGCCAAAGGTCCTTCCCGTTGTTTCCTTCTCATAAGTGTCAGCCCATCCCAATCTCCGCCAGGATCACGACTGCAATCTATCTGGAGAGGTGTTCGACAAGTCCAGAAAATGTAGGAAGTCCATCGCATTGTCGCCTCAACCAATGGACGACGTCGGTGGCAAGCCTCGACGAGACCAGCGAACTCGATAGCGTACGCGCGGCGATGTCTTGGGCACCTTGAGTCTCCTTGTCCCAACAATCCAAGCCCTCGCCAAAGCTTGGGACGACATCGAGCCCGGCCCAACTGTCAGAATTGTGGGCTTACGTCTCATTCGTAGCGACACGTTCTTGTGGAGACTACTCCAAAATTTTCTCCAGGCCTCTCCAGGTTTCAGCGGGTCGACACACAGACCACGGAAACATCGCTCACGTGCCTGTGTTGCACTGGACATGCGCACGCGCAAGACAAAGAATATGAGATGCGCAGCCGACGAGCATGCCGGTGCTTTTACCGCAAACAGAGGGACCAGGTACCGTCCTGCAAGCAGAAGCAACCCGCCGCTACCGGCTGCGGCACAGGGTCGCAAATGGTGAACTCATTTTCCCGACCTTTTCTTAGCGCATATAATCACACATATTCACATATCGCTAGTTTTTCCAGCGTCTGTTAACCATCCTCGCACTATATAGGCGCGATATGCACTTCGTGTCTCGAACCCATGAGGCTCTCGTGGAAGTGGGCCTCGGTCTATTGCAACGCTAGACATCGTCCGATACCCCACACCATGGAGCCGTCATACTCCACAGCCTCCGGATTGCCCACTTTGGACAACTAAGCAGCATTTTTTCACTAATCACACTCGAGCCTCATCGAAAGTTACTCCGATGCCCTACTAGTTCCCGCTAGCCGCAACGCTGCGTTATCGATTTCGGACATGACCGACAATGCTCTAAATGCAGTCTTTCAAACTGTCGCCTTCCCAAAGCTCTATCTGCATGCTCCAGACCTCGGCCATGCGGTGCGGGATCGAGAACGAACACTTCAATAAGCCGCGCGCCGACTGGTACTACCCTTAAGCCCGCTCTTTGCCCGTCCTGGTGGTAGTAGGAAACGGCTGATGTAGGAATATGCGCAAACGGAGGGCATAACACATGTAATTTTAGTTGATTACAAGGCCGCTGGATAGAAAAACAACAACAGTACTTCTGTTGACCGTAACCCGAGGATCGAGTTCGACCAACAGTCCGGATCATGGTGTGCATCGTAACTCCTGGTCGTTATGTGGCATTGTCAACAAGTCCTTGTATCCATCAGACTCCGCGAATCTCGAACACTCAAGCAGGGTATCGTCTCCCAAGTATGAGATTCCTGTCAACATATGACTCGGAGCCTTAGACACTGTTCTCATGGTAAGGCATACATAACGTCGGCTATTGCAACACAGGATAGTACCGGAGGCTGCTTCACGAGTGTTACCACCAACATCGTCAGTGAATACTTACAGCACTATGTGCGGCAATGCACGGATCTTAAGAGCTCTCACTATGAGCGCCTTCCAGTGTAGGGCTTTTGTTTCAAGAGCAACCGCGCCTTCTACTCAGTAGGTTGAGAATGGCGAACCCTCAACCAAGCAAGAGCAATCTCCAGCCTTCCTTCGCTAATGCGATCATCCAGGCACATTCATCTGCTGGTGCCATAGGCTCCGATGGCGTACAGACAAAGTATCTAGAAGACTACATCCGCCACGCATACGAAAACATACAAGGATTTCCCGACTCCTCATCACGCATCTTCACCAAATCGCCAGGACCAGAGCTCCAACGCGACCACGAGAACCAAATCATAATATACCCCGGTTCTTTCAATCCACCACATGTAGGTCACACCGCGCTCCTCTGGCACGCCTATCTCAACATGGACGCGAACACCATAGCAGTTATGATCTTCGCTCTTAAAGACAACTTACTAGCTCACAAAGAGCATGTTACGAACAACAAGGGTAAGGCGTTTATACTCTCGCACTACCAGCGCCGCCAGCTTTGGAAAGACGGTGTCCTAGGAAGATTCGCGTGGGTATTCCCATCGCATGACGACGACAAGCTGGACCTATTTATGGCCACTATCAAGCGTTTAGCAAAGGCGGATGGCTTCAAGCTATCCTTTCTCGTAATGTACGGAGGTGATTACATCAGTCAGAAGACTAGTGTCGAGGGACTGTGGGGAGGGGATGACAATACTTGCATCTGTAGTGATGTCACACGACCCATGGACTTTGTGCCTGACGATGGTGGTGAACTGTTGCAACTGAAAGGCTGTGACAAGTGGAAAACGATGAAGAGCGAAAGTCCAGAATGGACAGAGAAAGAGGAGCAAATCCCAGATTGCTGGCCTTGCTGGCCCTGTGCAAAGATGCGTAAGGTCCTCCCCGAGGGTGTGCAGAAGAATGGGTCGTCCTCGCTCGGTAAGTCTTCTCTCTGGTGTCTTTCGGCCGTACCTTGTTGCTAACGTATGTACCACCAGACATGAATGCGTCAAAGCATCCGCTCGCGACTATCTTAGCCCGATGTCACTCCACCAAGAACACGCTTCAGTGGACACGCTTGACCCGCAAACCTGGGCACATCATCTTCATTCCTAGCAATCGGAACGCCAATCCTCCTTCTCCCTCGGCGTGTTCCACAATCAGTGCCACGGCGATTCGAGAGTCTCTTCTGAAACTTGAAGGAGTGACGCAGCAGGTCCGCGACGAGATCAACTACACAGTACCAAACGGCGACTTGCTCTGTATATACCTGGGCTTGGACCGTCTTTGGGCGGAGAACGGAACATATGAGCAGCTGCTAGGCGGCAAGCGTTGTGAGGACGATTTATGGTTGGAAAGACTGAGGAAGAAGCAAGCGTACAAGGATGGACACAAGCGAAGGCGGAGGTCATCATCTCTTTGAATGCCATGCCGCGAATACTTGGAATTGATCGTCTACGCGCGCACCACCGAGTACTTCTAGAATAGCCTTGAACTTTTCTAGCATCTTGCATGCATGACTCCCACAGTCCGATGTCCATGACCTCACCATGATGCGCGGGCCCGATGACCCTTGTAGAGCTTATCCTAGACGTCTTCCGTACCCTTAGTCGACTGACCTCTCTTCCGCTCTTCCTCTAGCCGTGGCACGATCATCTTCATCGCCACAGTATTGTTCAACCTCCTCCGAATGCCCTCATCGAACACTTGGAATATCCGTTGCGTGCGCGCGCCAAACTCGTCAAAGGTGATTTCTTCGGTCCAGAGCTGCTCCATGACGTACACATATTCGTTCCAGTTGTCTGGGCCTAGAAGCAATGTTATCAGCGATTGTTCCCTAGAGCTTTGAGCGATGAGCAGTTACCAAGGGCTTTTTGTGTGGCTACCAACTCCAAAGGTACGACGTAGTCATACCTCGGGCATCGTCTCATGGGTTTCGGTGGAATCGCGGACGATACCTGCGGAGGCGCGAACAGACCGATGGGAGGCTGCGTGCTGGCCTTTTGACCGATGTGAGGATCTCCCTGGCTGTTCAGCCCACCAGCTGTGTTGTTATCCTGAACTCCATCGTCTAGTCGCGGTCGTCCTCTCTTAGGGGTGCCCAACGGCGGCGTATTGAAGGACTTCTGCTGGCGTACTCGGTTGCCTTGTGAGGGGCCGGGAGTTGCCTTTGGTTGACTCGTGGATCTCTGTTGCTTCGTTGGCGGTATCTTTCTCGCTATGAATGGTGAGATGTCATCTGGAGAGCGAGCTGCCAGCGGCGCCTTCCTCGGAACGTTGTTCGATGGAATACGACTACCGTTCCAGCCCGTCGGAAGCGGTGCGGGCGAGACGTGAATAGTGTCTCCCTTAGTCAGAGAGTCATGGCGCTGATCAGCGGGACTTGTACAACCGCTGCCTTGCATTGGTGTTGCTGGTGGTTTTAGATCGGTTCTTTTTGCGCCAGTGTTGAGGTCGACGTTATGCTCGTTGCGCGACATGCTGAATGGAAGTGGGTGTTGTCGGCGTCGGGCTGTGAGATCAGGATATGAATTTTCGAATGGATGATTGAGATGCGGAAAAGAAGGCCAGTGAGGTGGTGCCATGGGAGGCAGGAAGGCCTGGCCGCCCGTTGCATTTCGTTCGGACCTGGCTGGAAATTTGGACGGCAACATGTTTGGGGTAGGTCCGACGAATGGTCGGTGTTGCGAAGGCATTACTGGGCCTGATAGAGGTCGCTGTCGCGTGTTCTTCATCTGCTCTTGCGCCATGACTGGGTGTGGAGGGTAAGAGTGATGGGGCTGGACCGAGATCTTTGTCGAATGGAAAGAGCGACGTTGACAATACCGCGCGGCAACGTTGCGCTCGCACTGATTGACGAAGATAACTTTCGTGTCTCGCTTCCCAATATTCAGAAGTGTAGCCAGAAGACGGAGAGTGATTAGCGTAGGAGAATTGGAGGTGAGAGGCGCTTGCCGTGTTGGGAGCAGAGCTCAAACCTGAGGAAGGTGCCTTCCATGTCGACTGTGATTATTACGTCATCATAGATGATTTGATAATCAGACTTAGGTAGCTTGTTATTTACTATGTGGAAAGGAAGAAATTCTGACCGCAAGGCAGTCTTCGCTAAGTTAAGACCCAGGTGCGATCGGTATACGAGGAGACCGATGCAGCACACGTCAACCCAAGACGACTTGGAGACTGATTTAGATTCGATTTTCCCCTGATATGAAGACGAATGGCTGCGGATCGGCGGCGTGATTGACGTATAACAAGTAAGAGTTGCACACAGAGATTCTACCAGCTCGATAGCTTTACCTATATGCACGCCGCCAAGACCGACCATCTATCGCGGGGACGTCTTTGAAACGGACTTCAAATACACAAAGTGTCATCAATTTGGTCTATCCAAACGGCCTAGTATGCTCCAGCTTCGCAGGGTGTGTCTACCTAACAAAAGCTCAAGATGTCAGCATGTCCGCAAATACACCACAAAGAAAGAAGAACAGGACCTTTGTTCAGCTCTTTATCAACGCAAAACTATCGCTATCTGCCTAAATACTACAAGAGGCATTTCTGCATTCTGGTGACAACGGGAGTACCATCTTCGTTCCCGCGCAATACAACATTTGACGACATACATGGCAGCTCCACCAACCTTACCTGGAGGGCCGTCGCAGAGATACCTCAACCTGTTTAATGCGCTACCCAACGATGACGTGCGGCGTGGGTACTTGCTATTTCTAACGGAGTATGATGGCCGGATTGAAGGGGCTGGTGTGCTTTCACGGATATGGAATAAGACGACATCCACGGCGCAACAGGTATACATCAACCGCGCCACATCTGGGGCGATCAACCATGCGTCAGATCGCGGAATCGAGAGCGGAGGAGAAGAGTCGTCTAGAAACGATCCCCAAGAAGCGATCAATGGAGGTCGTATACAGGCAGAACCCGGAGCCCCAGAAGATAATGTTCCCAACATAGAAGACCCTTTGCATGGCGTAGCGACAACTGCTGAGGCTGTCAACCCGGAAGCATCGAATGAGACAGAAACGTCTGCTTACGAGCCTAGTGATACCGAGATCGCAATAGCAAGGGTTGGTCTTACCGAAGCAGATACTAGTAGAGCAGCACCTCCTCATACAAGAAAACGAGGCCGCGACGAACCACATGACCACGCAACGCAAGCATGGCAATGGTGCAAGACACTGATGGACTCTCGTACTAGATTTAGTGGGTCCAGAGAGATGCGCACAGTGGTATGCTTGTACGTGCTATGCGATGAAACGGGTAGAATATTGAAAGTTAGTATCTTCATCAACCCCTACTTCGCTAAATAGTACTGACATCAGTTAGCGGAAGGTATGTAAGAAGATACGTTGTGGCTCGCAGAAAATGGTGGATTTCGTCGAAGATGAGTACAACATCAGTCAACAATTGGAGCTTTGTGATCATTGCCATCACATCGAGGCAGCCTCTCAACAAGAAGGTACGCTAAATTATCGCTTGTACTCTGATTACGCCGAGCACGGAGATCTGAGCGAACTTCTCAATGTTTATTACCAGGAAGAGAATTTGGACAAGCAAATACCTGAGCAGTTCATCTGGATGGTCTTTAATGCGCTGGCTGACGCCATATGTACCCTGAACACGGGGTTGTGCGGAGAGACGCTCGACGAGGACATAGCGGCGAAAAGAGCAGACAATGGCCCAGAAGTCGGAAATGAGGGAGAGAAGACGAAGAAAAGAAAGCGAGGTGGGAACAAGCCAAGGAAGAAATTTACAAGCAGCATGGTGCACTTGGATGTCAAGCCAGCGAACATCTTTCTCAGTACCGCTAAAGAACCCTACCTAGCGTACCCAAAGACTCTCCTTGCTGACTACGATGTCGTCAAGACGATCTCACCAAGCACAGATGCTTTAGAGGGTAGGAAAGACTGGGGCACGAAAGGATTTCAAGCTCCAGAGATCACCGTAGAGGTCGCGCATCATCATTCCGTCAATGCTAAGACAGATATTTGGTCGCTTGGGATGGTCATCTGGAAACTGATGCATACTACGCTTGGAAGAGAAACGTCGGATCAGATATGCGAGAACAGCATCAAAGCTTCATTCCAATTTGCAGAAGGAGATACGTTCACATCGACGGACATCCCAGGTTACGATGCGATGTATTCCAATGCCTTGCACCAACTGGTGATCGACTGTCTCCAGATCAACCCGGAAAAGCGACCAGGTTACGAGACTTTGAGGAAGAAAGCGAAAGCGGAGTTTGAGAGATCGCAGAGGCGGTTAGGCCCGGTATCGTCGGGTGATGAAATGGGTAGTGATATTGCCGGTCACCTCCGAGTTCTCAGGAAAGAAGAGTTGGAGTATAAACTTGGGGATATGTTTGTCGAACCTTTGAGCAAGAGGAGAAAAGCTCAATCGCACGTCGAACAAAATGCCGATGTATGACATATTTGACCGGCATTGCCAGATCCTTTCCTCGAGGGACGCATCGGCGCTTACCAAACTCCAGTAGAAATGTGACGCGTGTAGTTGTTGTTCGTTATAGGAGCCCGACAGTTTATTTTCAATGGAATTCCAGTGGTTCGATATAAAGCGGCGACGGGTGCATCCTGCGCGACGTTTTCTTCTTCTTCTCTCTCTCTGCCTCATTCTGCTCTGCTTCATTTTATCAGCAGCATACACATCCGGTCGCCGGTGCCCGCCCCAACACAGTTATCGCGGTAAGGAGTACGGCACGACCCAAGCTTTGACCAACACACTAGTGTTGGTTATATCACTGCCTTTCCACTGGCTGACTTATTGGACAAAGCGCCCCGCGTTTGCCTAGATACTCGGTGTTTGAGACTTCTAGGGTTTAACCTGCGGGCAAGATTATTGTCGCAAAAGCGTCGTATCGGCTCCGTAGTTACAACGCTCATAGTCAATCAATTTTTGATCACCTTCATCGAGCTGAGTAACATGACGACTATAAGCATGTTACTGTGCCTAGTCGTCTGCAGCCTGCTGGTTCATAAGGTCTGGAAGCGCCAAATGCAGCGCGAGGTAGGCGTGGTTGATAAAATGAAAGATGATGCTGCTGACAATCACCAGGAAGAAGACCGATATGCCGCGCAGATGGGTTGCAAAGCACCGCGGAGGTGGGCAGCAAAATGGCCACAAGGCTTGGACCTGCTGCTCAAGGCGGGGCAACATGCAAGGGCGCAGACCATTTTACAGTTTTTCTTAGACGTAGTAGACTCTAGCGGTCCGACGCATGAGCAGCAGTTGCGTAAGTCCACAAGACACAACGAAACCCGCGGCGTTGACACTGCATAGTTGGAGCTCGCGGTATCAACACGGTTGAACCACGCAACATTGAAGAAATACTCTCTGCCCAGTTTGAAGGTTTGTCAAAGTTGAATGGTTAGGATGACCGCTGGTATTGACGTTTGTGGCAGACTTCAGTCTTGGGCTCCGACCCAAGCATTTTGATCCATTGCTGGGATGCGGGATTTTTACTCAAGACGGTGCAGCATGGAGACACTCGCGGGCGTTACTCCGTCCCCATTTCACTTCCAATCGCTACCAGAACTTCGAGGAGATGAAAGAGTCGGTCGAAAGCCTCATCGATCGAATTCGCCCCGACAGCGTTGTTGATCTCCAACCGTTATTCTTTCGCTTGACTTTCGACACGACGACGTTCCTGCTTTTCGGCAAAACATTGAGCTCTTTGCAAAGCAGCGACATTGCTGGACAAGCGTCTGAGTTTGCGGCAGCCTTTAATCTGGGCCAGGATTACTTGTCGCATCGTGGCAGGCTGGGAGACTTGTACTGGCTTGCGAGTACTCCCGAGTTCTGGCAAGCTTGCAAGACTTCTCACCGCTTCGTTGACGACGCGATTCAGAGAGCACTGGACAATGCGGAGACTACGGAACCCGATAAAGTAGAAGCCGAGGACAAGAAGCATTATGTGTTTATCGACGCGCTCATCCAAGAGACTAGGAACAAGAAGGAACTTCGCGACCAGTGTCTTAACGTTTTACTGGCGGGCAGAGACACAACTGCATGCTGCCTCACCTGGACCTTGCGCTTGCTAGTCCGTCACCCTAAGGTTTTGGAAAGGCTACGTTCGGAAATAGAGACAGTAGTAGGCCTCGGACAGCATGCGCCTCAACCAAGTCGGGTGGATTTGAAGAAGATGAGATATCTTGATCTCGTTCTGAAGGAGGTACTTCGCCTCTACCCATCCGTGCCGGTCAACTCTCGTGCAGCACTCAGGACAACGACACTTCCTGTTGGAGGAGGTCCAGATGGCAAATCGCCGATATTGGTCCGAAAAGGCGAGGCTGTCGGTTACTGTGTGTACGCTATGCATCGACGTACAGACATCTACGGCGAAGATGCACTCGAGTTCCGCCCTGAGAGGTGGGAGGATGGATCACTGTTGCGAGATGTGGGGTACGGGTATCTTCCCTTCAATGGCGGGCCACGAGTTTGCCTGGGTCAAGAGTTTGCCCTGCTGGAGGCGGGATATACCGTAGCGAGGTTGGTACAAATTTTCCCTTCCATGACGGTTCCGAAGGATGACCCTGTTGTCCCTACTGGCCGGGAAAAGCAGACCTTGACGTTGGTAGTTGCTTCGGGAGATGGATGCCGTCTACACATGCGCTCATAGATCGAGACAAATTCTCTCTCCAGGAACGCTTGTACACTCTGAGCCGTGCATAGTCTTAAACGTACCCTCCCCATGTATCCCTAGCTTCCTAATTGCTAAGTCCACCTATATCCGCATCGCCCAAGAGAAAGGGCGCGGTATTGCCCATGCTGAGGGTGCATTCGGCGAAATAGCAGCGTGCTGCAAGACTGTACTCGTAGCGTGGAGGGCATAACAGCGAAGTTGTGGAGGGTTGGGCGCGTGGTAAGCTTGGTGTGTCGTGGACGACGGTCGGGATTATACGCGTCGGTCGAGGAGCGCGATGCTGATCTGTTGCAACAGATTCATGGCGGAAAACTTTCGGAAGTCGATGACTGTAAAGCTTGAATCGAGACCTCGACATTGCGTCTGCTATGCGTCGTCGGGATTACTCTGTAGCTTTGCTACCCTTCATTCTGGTGCGCGTTCGTACCGTCCAGATCGTTTGATCTCGAGTGGGTAGTCATCTATGTATCATAGTTGACCACGGAACAAGACCGAAATAAGGCCTCGTTCGGAATGGCGATAGCCTCTGGTTCTCGTGCTTAGCCAGGCGTTGTCAGGCCGCATGTTGGAGCACATGATATGCTAAGCGGTTGCTGAGAGACTGAACACGTCCGACGGTAGAAGGGATGCGTAGTAGTGGCGACTTCGCGTGACGTGTCCCACGTGGGAGATGAGGAGTGCACATGTCGAATCCGCTATCAAGCATCGCGACGCATAGTTGCGACTGGTTGTACACGAGGCGCGCGATTGTAAGAGCTAAACCTCGGTTGTGGGGTCGCAGTCGATGCCGGGTCCATCGAGCTAACCTTGGAAGAGCGCGTTCCGCGCTTCGGACGCGTGTTTTAGCGCCAAGCGTGGCACATGTCCGTTCTGTCGCTCCCGGCCACCCTCAGTCCTTCGTCCCCTCGCGACCAGCTGCCCGAACAAGTTGCGGCCGTATACTGTGTACAGCTCGCTGTCACATCCGTTTCCGAATCGACAAAATCCCTTCCGCGATGGCACCCTCGATCGTTCCTGGCCTCGGCAGACTCCCCGCCTTCACGGTGCATTGATTGCTGCATGCGTCGCTTACTGCATCCATGGATGTAAGGCTCCACTCTAGATGGCGTGGCAGGCCTTGAGCAACATACCCACCTGAATGCGGCGCCTGTCACAAATATATCGCCTTGCTCAGCCCGACTTGTGAGGGGGAAAGAAGGTTTTACTCCGGCTGTGCTTCATGCATCGTTAGCACAAAGCTCATGATATCCCGCTTCTAGATCACGCTACCCTATCGTCGTGCGCTCGTGGAGGAGTTCAAAAACCACCGTCACAGTCGTGCAGGAACCTGGTTGTCACTTGTAGGATCCGCACATGTTTTCAGCCAGAAGCGATTGGATTCTTACTATCGATACTACATACCAAATGTAGTTGCTTCCATAACAGCTCCGACGGGAATGCCACAACGGTCTTCATGGGTTACTTTATGAAAGGCCCGTCGCACCGAAACTACCACACAACGTGCAGGACACGCATGGCAGGATTCACGCTTGTAGGGGCACATATTTCGTCGCGCCAATAATCGAGACGTGGCAGCGTGCCGCCCCACGCCGCCTATCTCACGGGTAAGATGCGAACTGTATTAGTTCCTCTTGAGTTAGCAACTGTGGGGAACCTAGACTCAGCATGGTAGGCATCCAGGGCCTTGACGGGGCAGATGTACCAGAACGGTAAGTCACCTCTGCAACGTAAACGCCCCGTCCCGCATGGAATGGTTCAGCGGGGATGCTGGTTTTCAGGTCCCTTGAAGAAGTGCTGTACCCGTCTTGTTCCCACTTGTCAATTTGACTTGAACTTCATTCTAGCCCCAATGGCTCCCACTAACAGCAATCTTTACTCAACGAACAAGTATCTGGCTCAAGAAAGGACCCAGAACACCAAAGTTCCAGGCGGCAGTCGCTCAACCACGCTATCCGGAGTCAAAGATGCCGATTTCGTTGCCATCGGCCTTGGAGGCGCAAACATGCTGGCGATGCTGTGGGCTATAGCTATGGGCCGCCGTGCCGTCGGTGTTGAACTTCGCGGCGACCCATTTCTAGGAGTGCACTGGAACATTCGTGAAGACATGTACCATCAGCTGGGCCTTATCGACAAGATGATGTTGGATCGCTACGGACTGGATAACCTGCCGAAAAGACTGGATGGAACACTGCTCAGTCTGGCAGATTTGTTCTACCATCCCATGACCGAGTCTAGGGACATCATACCCGGAGCTATCATCGAGGGATACGAGAAGGAACTCCACATGGTCGGCGAAATCCATAACATTGAGTACATCGACGACCGCTGGAAGAATGGCAAGCCACATCGCACTGTCACCACTGTGCCTCCGCCCACTATCCCGGAGCACCCGTGCCCGACCAAAATCCGTACCGATATGCGAGAAGTCCTCGACGGACCTTCGACATGGCAAGCTGCGGCATTCTCCATCCAGCTTCTTCTCCGCCGCTATCTTGAGGCGCTCGAAAAGATTGATCTCAACGCTAGCAAGACGCCCAGATGCCGCCTCTTCACAAAACATCGCGTAGTACAAGACGGAAGTGGTCTAGTCCATCTTCCGTGTGGCCGTGTCCAAATTCGGATCGAAGAAGTTACCGAAGTTCAATACCACAACGACCTCCAACGAATCCGCACTCCAGGTAGCGACTTTATCGATCTTGGGGTTCCAGAGCTGTTCAGCGTCGCCACAGGCATCAACTGCCGTGAAGCAGAGCAACTAGGCTTCCAG